AAGACAAAAGCACATCTACCTGAGAATCATTACCCATATTTCAAAACACATTCTTCTCAAACAGGAGTTCTAACCATAGTCTGTATGTTAGGAGTGAACTGGGAGAGTGTGACATCACCTCTCCCTGGTCCGTGTCTCACTGGTACCTTTTGTTGGGGGTTGAAGATCAGGATCTTGGCATCTGTTGCAGGTCCCCAACTCGTGTGGTCCTCAAGGATTAGATCGTCGCTGTGCGCCTCCTCCTCAAACCCAGATGCCCAGATCTGTGACGTCACCATGGAAACAGCTCAGACTCGTGCAGTCCCATCCCATCCAGGATCGGCCTTCCCACTCAGCCAATCACACAGCCCCGCCTCCTTCTGCCACTCTACCCTGATGCCACCAGTGCCAGGATCGGAGATTATCACACATGACCTTCCCTGAACCAGCGTCACAGCTGGGGTCTATGCGCCAAACAGAAGAAACTAATTTAATGCATTCTCTGTCCAGTGTCTACGGATTGAAATATTTTCTACAGTTTGGTTTGAGACTTTGAGCATAAGAAAAGATGCTGAGAGAAACGTGCCACGTTGCCATATGTAATTGGAATTTTATACAAGTTATCATTTTAATGTAGTAATACGTGGCTAAAATATATTGTATTGAAATTCACTGTTGTCTTCTGGGCGACAGGTGTTGTATGCAGATGTAAGAAGGCCACCGTTTCTTTGATATGCTAAATACCTAAGGTGCCGCTTTAAAACCATGTATGAAATTTAAGGGGGTTGGGCTTGCAGCCTAGCAAAAAAGTTTGAGCCTTGTCTGAGTTAGATCTGATTTTGGAACCAGAGAGATCAGCACTTTCTGCTCTGTCTCTGCTTTAGAAATCACTTCTTGGAATGCAAACAAGTATTAAAGAATGCAGGAACTATGCCTTTTGCGTTTGTGTCAGGATTGACTAAATTACAGCATTAACACCATACTTGCATGCAAAAGCAGCAAGCAGGGAAGGGCCCGGTTAGACCTGTGATGGGAGACCTCTGGGAACACGAGGTGCCACAACGGGGCGGCTGCGGCTGTAAAGTGTCCTTAGGCAAGACACTTCACCCACATTGCCTAGAATTGTGTGTGTGAATGGTTGGTGGTGGGAGGGGCAGATGGCACATACTGGTTGCCTCTCTTCTGTCAGTGTGCCCCAGGGCAGCTGTGGCTACAGTAGTGGTTTTTCATCATGGAGTATGGAGTGAAAGAATAATGATATGTGGAGCGTCTTTGAGTGTCCTGAAACCGCTTTATGAAACCGATGCCTTATTATCATCATTATTATTATAAAGCATGCTCTGTGGCGTTTGGCAAAACGTTTTCATTCCCTGTCTCAAACCTGAATCAAAGCGTTAAAAAGACAGTATTGTGAGATTCACAATATTGAGAGTCTCATTAGTGCATGTCGACTTGGTGGAGAAACAGCTGATGGTTTCAAATCTGCGGCCCATGCACCACTTGCTGCCCATGCAGTTATTCTGATGCCCCCTAGAGGACATCACAAAGTACTGTCAGTTCGACCCCCACTGAGCCTGGGCTCATGTGTAATAACGTCAGGGTTCAATGTTTGGGATAATATAAACGATAAATCACAAAGTTCCTTTATGTCAAGGTAGCAGAATGTTCATGTCGATTTTAAAAACACTGGACACGACAGTCTTCTACATTGTTAAAATGTTCCCCTCAAAATTGCATCGCTTTGTTTTTGGAGGCAATTATGTGCTCTACGGACAACGACAACATTGATGTTTGTTGCTGCTACAGAAGCTTGTAGTTGTCAAACACTAAACCAGCGGTTTCGATTGGAGAGCTAAATGGCAGAGGGGTACTCTTATAGTCATTCAAAATCTAGTTTATGCAAACTACATACAACAATTTGATTCAATAATACCATTATAATGTATATCTAGGGGTGGGCAATAAGGCCTAAAATTCATATTGCGGTATAATTTGGGACACAAAGAATGCAGGAACTGTGGGAGCCAAGTTAAGCTTTGTTAGCTAGATATTTGCATGTTGCATAGGGTATATTAGAGTGTTACTAATTTATTGTTTATTTTGTTACAAATTAGTAATAACGTATTTTATTTGCTTAATTAGTATTTTATGTTAATTTAGGAACTACATTTCATGTTTGTAAATACCCTTGTTGAACCAAGTTATTTTTGTTTTACATTTAACATTTACGTAACAGTCGCTTTAAGAGAGATAGGTTTTGGTTTGTTTACAGAGGAGCGAGCGAGAAGAGAGCGAGCGTAATTAGAGAGAGGCACGTAACTTTGGCAGCTCAGGAGATAAGGAGCCAAACGGTTTTCTTACCGCATTTATTTTATTAAGAGACAACTCAGCAAAGTAATTTCGTGCACAAGAGTGTGGAATAAACGTTTGTTAATTTTTACATGGAGTCCCGTGGGAGTTTCTCTTTTTTAAAGTAACGCGAGTAAGCCATCGGCAACCAGTGGAAGCTGCAGAGTACAGGAACTATGCCTGCATTATACAATATGCAGGTAAAACAAAAATCTATCGTTGGCCAAATTTTTATCGCATACCGCTTACATTGCCCAGCCCTAGTATATCCCTGAAATAGTGTACATAGGGAAATTATTAGTGATAATAGATTAAATGACTTAATTGTGAATTCAGAATAGAATCAGAATCATGTGTTAAATTCATGAATTCACGCTACTTTGAAAGGGGAGGAGAGTTATTTTCTTGTAGGTCGGAACAGGAGACATTACTCCTCCCACTGTGGGGAAATGTCAATGTTGCAGCGCACTGACAGGAGAAAAGCTGTACATGCTTAATAGGAGCAATAAGCCTCTCCATCCCTATCCCTCCTCTCTTTGTGTGTGCACAGATATTATGTAACCATTTGTGTTTCAGAAAGTAGAAGCAAAAATCACATATCAAGAGCCGTTTGAGGAAATTCAAATGGAAGAAGATTTGGGAAGAGACAGGATTTGTTGGTTGAAGAAGTTGAATGGGAGGATCTTACAGTGAGAGTCTGTCCTCCATCCAAGACACACGGGGACGGGATTTCAAAGGAGATGTTCCCCATGTCTGGATAAATCCTGCGCACCACCCAGCCGCCCAATTGCTGCTCCTGGAGAAGAAACACACAGGACCGGCACTGTTAGGAATGTAAGAGCTCACAGGCAGCATTAAGTATGAAGACCTCTTTAAACCCGACCGTACCGTGTGTGAATGGTTCTGGAGCCGGATGAACCTGCCACCCTCGTCCACCTCACTAAGCCTCACGGGGGCGCTCTCGCCCTCTCTCTCCAAGGACCCCATCTTGGAGGCCGGCGAGCTGCCCGTAGGACCCTCCTGTTTACGCTTTCGTCCTCTGAGTTTGTGCCTCTCCTCATGAGTGCGGGACACAGCAGCGCTCTGGGACGGACTGGGGGACAGCTGCAGTCTGGAGCGGTAGGAGGTGAGGAGGGGGAGGACAGGGGACATTATAACAACAGCTTCTGTAGTATTTCTAGGTTGACCGGTTCCTGGTTGAAAACTGCAGTTACTTTTACAAAGTGGTGAATGCAACAAGCAAACACAGTTTGGCTAAAAGCTAACGCTAACTGCACCAAGTAAATTTGTGTTGCTATGGGAACGATGGTCACTTTTCTGGTGGGAATCCTGGACCACATTACTCCCAGGGGGACGTCAATAAAATAAAAAAAAGAAGTAAAATTTCTAAAATTCCAATTTTAAATTATAATAATCTTAAAAAACATAAAAACAATGACATAAATAAACTTAGAAATAGAAAAGTCAAAGTTATAGGGACCATAAAACTCCAACACTTCCAGTCACATTGACTTCTCTGGAAGTGTTCTAGCACGAAATAACTCATGGACTCACATGAGTCCTCAGAATTCACCTCTGCTCCTCAACCTCCAGCATCTTGCGGTAGGCGTTGATCTCCATGTCCAGGGCCACCTTAGTGTCCAGCAGCCTCTCATAGTCCTCCAGCTGCGTGAACATCTGTCTGCGGAGGCTCAGGAGCTCCTGCTCTTTGGCCCCGAGTCGCTCCTGCCACGAATCACGCTCTTTGTCCAGGGTTCGCTCCAGGTCCTGGACACGCCGCTCCAGACACATTTTCTACACAAAAACAGAAGTGTGGAGAAGCCATCACTGCTGAAGTGTCTGGCCACGCCCCCTCAGATCCTTCTGAATAACCACCAGTGTTTGGGAATTTTTTTAAGTCTAAAGAAAGCAACTACAGTCTGTACTAGCCACTAAAAGCTGTCAAACCAAGGAGATGCATCAAGACCCTAAATATCATTATCTTTGCATTGAAACTGGTCTTGAGTGAACGCCCCTCAACGCTCTGAACCAATGCGATGCTGGGATACCTATTGAGGCACTGAAACATTGATATGCAAAGCAGTGGCTGCAGAGTCCGAGACACTGACGTTTGTCACATGACCAGCTTGTTACTACAAGTACTACACTACAAAGTATTAGCGCAAGGGGGCCGAATAATATTGCACGCCCCACTTCTCAGTTTATTTGTTAAAAGAGTTTAAATTATCCAATAAATTTCGTTCCACTTCACGATGGTGTCTCACTTGTTGATTCTTGACAAAAAATACATTTTTATATCTTTATGTTTGAAGCCTGAAATGTGGCGAAATGTTGAAAGGTTCAAGGGGGCCGAATACTTTCGCACTTGTACGCTCCAACGCAGTATTTCGAAGCAGTTTGCTTCGGGAAGAGCGACACCAGCTCCAAAGCCTCGATGTTTGACAATCACTAAAAGTAACGTTGTAGCCATAGACTATATTAACGGACGTAGTCACGCCTGTCTCTGCTGTTCTAACTAATGGGCCAAAAATTGGGCTTTCATGGAGTGATTCAAAATGGCCGCAGGGGCTGGAAAATGTGAAAAAACGCATCTGCGCATGCGTCAGCCGGCGCGAGCTCGATTCATTTGAACAAGTGACTTCCAAATTCACAGTGACTAAACTAGACTGGTCCGAAAAAATTCACCCCCCTCAGCATTGACACACATGAGGAACGGAGCTTTGGGCCAAGAGCCAACATTTGGACCATCCTGTAAAGACGTTTGAGAGCTCAGCTAATGCTATATGTTAGCATTGGCTAATTTATTCCGGGTCCACTCCCATCGGCCCGGGGTGGTATTGCAAGCATGTCAGCGCACGTCATTTTGGCCACTTTTGAGCTGGGACCCGCCACCACTGGTTGTAGCAGATCGAAAAATACGGCTAACATTACTAAATAAATAGTTATTGTGCTACTGTACTTTTCTCCAGAAAAAGTAGTTTGGTTAGTGTAACGCGTTACACTCAACACTGCTGATCTCACACCCCACAGACTGACCAGGGTAAGGAATTTATGGGCAGTGGGAGGAGCCAAAGGCCACCACAGAACATTCTACATGGGACTGATGTCTTCATGTGAATGCGTGTAGTATAAATCCTTTGGTGGACAGTGTTCCGCTAACATGATCTACAGTAAACATAGCATTTAATGTGTTAGAATATTGATTAAAACTTGAAGAAGAGAAGAGGCGGGGAAAGGAGAGAGAAGAGAAACATGAGAATGAGAGGGGAAAGAGGAGAGTTAGATTGCTTCCCATGTAGCGACAGATAAAGCCAAAGAAAAAAGGATGCACGGATGTGCACAATTACTAAATTAAACTAGATTTGTATTTCAGTGTTAATACTCTATTCCACAACATGAACAAAGGGACACAAGGGTCAAACAAAACCAAATATTTCTTTCAACAGGTTGTTATAGAATTAATTCTGCCAGAAGCAACCATCTGGACAGGGAGGGCCCACTCTGTCACAGGATATTAGAGTAATACTTGCATAATAAATACAAAAAGCTTCAGGTTTATTCCTCGGACAGAGGGGAAATAACATTCCTGCTCTTTTCAGTTTACAGATAAGCTTTAAATATTTGGAGGAGTAGCGGCTCTTCTCAGAGCTACCCCTGTGTGACTGAACTCCTCTCTCCATCTCTAACAGCCTGTACACACCCCAAGAGCAGCGAGTGACGCACGGCTCTCAGCAGAGTAGGCTTTCATCTCGTGGCTACCTACACCTCTGACAGAGCATGCAGAGCTAAATCCACGTGTATGAGTTTGTCCTCATGGACACTGGTTAGTGTGGTCGGACGCGAGCCTTTAAGAACAAAAAAAAGCTTTCCTATGTGTCAATTTTTAGCATGAGCTATAAGCCTCCGACAAAAGTCTCCTTTGCCTCTTTTAAAATGAACCACATTGAACTACGGCAAAATGAGTTTGTTTTGCGCTGTGATCTATAGACTCAGTGACTTTGCAGAATGTATGGCCCCCATACTGACAAACTCTGATAGGGTTTTAATAGTTGGGGATTTCAACCTGCATATGTGTTGCCCCTCTTATGCTTACGCTTATGGCTAGATTTTTATTGAGCTCATTGATTCTTGGTGCAAAATGTTGACAGACCCACTCAGTTACACAGATATACATTAGACTTAGTTACATTGTGTTATCTGTCTATAAATGGTGTTTTTTAAAGGCGATGCAATTATTTATCACTGTCCCATTTTCTTTCAATGCATGATTAACAACCCTGTGAAACAGTTTGGTCCTCAGCGCAGCGTCCTTAAACCACATACAGCAGCATCGTTCTCTACTCTTTAATGAAAATGTCCAGTCTGCTTTTGAAGACACTGCCCCTCAGGACCATAGACTAAAAAAATAATGGACGTAGTCACGCCTATCTCCGCCGTTCTAATGGGCCAAAAATAGTGCTCTACTGGAGATATCCAAAATGGCCACGAGTGGTCCCGCCCACAAGAAAATTGCGAAAAAACGCATCATCCTTAAAACACATGTTCCACCGTCCTCGACTCACTAGCTCCACGGAGAGCCTAGCGTCCTATAGTCAAACCGGTGCCGTGGATAACCGTGAGGCTCGGCGCAGATGCAGACAGGCGGAGAGAAAGAGGAAGAAAGACCTGTTACATGTGTCCTATGATATTTTAAGTGACAGCTGGATAACGTATCAGAAAATTGTGAAAGATGAGCCAGTGAAGTGTTTTTCGGATTTGGGGTCAATCAATGTGAATACTTCACGTCTTTTATTCCAAACAATTTGTTTTAAGCTTGTCCAAATCCACCATCTTAGAAGGCTGTGCTGAAAGATGTGAGGAATTCTTATCCTTCATTGGGACGGTTGCTTTGATTAGGGCAAATGTAGTGTAGTTTCTCCATAAACACCAGTGGCTCAGCATTTGTCATTTGGGTCACTGTCAAAAATGGTAAATCAAATTAAATCCAATGAAAGCTTCTTGTCCCGTGGAGGACCAGGGGACAAGAAGGGGGGCTTAGAGTTGGGCGTGGTCTGGGCTGTGATTGACAGCTCGCTTGTCACACGAAAAAAAAACAGTTGTCATTGCTGCTTAAAGCAATAGTTTACACACTAGAAAGTCTCATTCCACCCTTGTTTACACACCAAGATAATTGTAGAGCTACACGCCTGAACGCCTGAACGCACAGAATTATCTCAGCAGTCGTGGCCGTCACCTGATGTAATTTAATATTAATCCACAAGATGTCGCCAGAATACTTCAACCTGCAACTGGGGCGTGAGTGAGACTTGGATTCTTTTATACCACTGGCGCAGAGAAACGGACGTCACACAGTACCATCTAACATCACTCCAGAGCCAATGGTGGTGCCACTAAAAAAGTAGCGAGGGTGCCACACAGACTGTTTTAGGTTCAAAAGTGAGGTTTTATCTAATTTGCACTAAAATGTCAACAAAATTACCAAGACATGTAGAGAGCCCTATAAGAAACAATTATGCAGTTTAGGAGTTTAAAAAAGTTGATTTGGTGTTTAGCTGTCCTTTTAGAAGCAGAGGCCACTATTAATTTTAGACCAATATCAAAGCTCCCTTTTTTGGCTAAACTATTGGAGAAGACCGTTCTTACTCAATTACAGCCATTTTTAGATGAGCACAATGTTTTATGTTTTCAGTCAGGCCCTGCGTAAACTGCATAAACAGGTGAGTCCAGTTTTAACCTGAAGATTTGAGGAAATGGGTAGAGTCATCCGTGCTCCTGCTCAGTTTGGAACTGTTGGAAGTAAAACCTACAGCCACATGGCCCTTTCTGGAACCGGTTTGAGACCCATGCTTTAGACTGATTCAGTTCATACCCGTCTGGGAGATCCTGCACTGTCAGGCTGGGGGACTCTTCTGCCACGCCTTTACACAATGGAGTTCCAAGGGTCAATTCTTGGCCCATTTTGGTTTTCATTATAACTTGTCCCTTTGGGTGCCATGTTTAGTAACTTTTATGCAGATATATAGCATATGCCAATTTCTAGACTAGAACAGGGCCCTCTGACACACCTGCTGGGCTGCCTTTGTGATGTCAAGGCTTGTGGCCCAAAATCACCTGTTATTAAATGAGGGGAAAACTTTTTTTTGGACCCACGGATCCCCTATTGGACCTGGGCACCCTCAGGGATAATGTCCATCCCTTTTCTACCAACCTTGGCATCCCCATGGACCATTTTAACTTGGGAAGCAGATCAGTCATTAAATCAGGCACCAGTGGCTCCTCAGCCAAGCACATGCACCAAATGTCTGAACCTGCGGTTCCTCTCATACTCTCATAAGTCTGGACTCCTGTAATGCACTTCACACTGGGATTTCACAAAAGCACTTTCAGGCTTACAGTTAGTCCAGAACAGGCACAGCTTTTAACAGGAAGCAAAAAACGTGAGCACATTTCTAGGATTTTCGCTTCTTTGCACTGGCTTCCGGTTAATTTAATTTAACTATGAGTTTTAATCATCTTAAAACATTACATTTTTACTTTCTGGCTTTGAACCACCACATGTAGTCCTCTTTTTAGATATTTTATTTTATTTTTATTTTTAAATTGCCTAACTGGTATCTTATAGTTTTTATTAATACAATTTTTATTGTCTTTACTTTGTGCATAATGTGTTTTTTTTAAACATAAGGCTGGCAACTTGCATATTTGAGGTGATTTGATCTCTGACGCGCTTTGGAAAATTGTTTTATGAAATGTGCTATATAAATAAAGTGGATTGATTTGGATTGGGAGTCGTGTCACTGTGGGCAAAACCACATAAGGCTCTTATTTTGAGCACAATAGAGTGGTGTGTACGCTCCTCTCTGATACGTCGCAGCCGCAGCACAAGTTTCTTCGCTACACATGACGCGTGCAGTGTGTACGGACGGTAAGGCAGCTCATGTGGACCGCATGTATCCGCGATCACCACAGCTCTGTATCTGCTGTCACTCTGGGGGCAGGGCTTCACCTCATTTTGGTAGAGCTGCAGTTGGGAGCTGAGCGTCTCAATCCGGAGCTTGGTGTTTTCAAGTTCGTCTTTGGTGCTCGAGACTGCGTTGGTTTTGTCTATTGCTGCCTGCTGTGCGTTCTGCAACTGAGGACACAGGGCTAGAAGAGGCCACTTCATACAAAAGGCAACACACAGGGCTGAACAAAAAAAGATACATTAACATTACACAAGGCATTCAAATAATAAATAATCACAGTGCATTAAAAAGAGTAAAGATAGATTCCCTCAGTTGTATGCAACAGTTTTAACCCGAATCCAAACATAAGAACAGTCTTCCTGAAAATGTGAGACTGGCTTACTTAACTGAGTCCCAGCAGAAGGCCAGTCCCTGTGCCCCTTACCGTTAGTTCATACAAAACTAATATGTCACAGATATACTTTTGTGTACAAGCCCTCACCTCTCTCCCCCTCCCTCTCAGTCCTGTACCTTGGAGCTGAAGGTCTTGTCCAGCTCCTGCTTGTACTGCAGCAGCTGGTTCTCGTGGTCCTGTCTCAGCTGATGCATGGAGTCGGCCAGTTTGGACTCAAACTCCTTTCGTCTGATGGTCTCCAGCTCCAGGAGTCTGCTCTCACTGCGACTGCGCAGCTCCTCCGTGTTCTGCAAACATGAAAGTACTGGTACTGGGTTCCTCCTCATTCATCTGTAACGTTTCTGTTCGTACCTGTTCACTCAGGTTCTTCTCAAACGCCAGCTGCTCCTTGGCCGTCTGCAGTTGGTTCGAAAGGTTTGTGCTCTGCATTATCTCCTCACTCAGATTTTTCATAGCATCTCCGAGTTGCCCCTCTATCTGGGAACAGCGACACACACACAGCCATTACATGAGACAACACTTGGATCTGGAGCACGTTAGCCAATATGTTTCTGCTAACTCTCAAGACTTTACTTCATTTTTAAAGCAGCAGTAAGATATTTGGTCCCTACACCACCACATGTACGCGCACAGTCTACGGTTGTGGAAACCAATCAGAGAGCAGCGAAGTGGTCACTGGAACACTAGCACTCAGAGCGGGAAGACTGAAGATACTCGTAAACAGCCTACACAGGAGCTAAACCAGGATTAAACCAGGACTGTAACATGAAGTTTCTGGAAGGCATTCTTGGAAAAGAACTCCTAAAGACGTACTGCAAGTCACGCTGCCTCTGTCGACGGAAGTGAGCAGGAGTTAGTGCGCGGACGTAGTGCTTCTCTTATTATTACGCCTCACAATATAGTACCCCTTTTTATCCACTGAGAAAATCGACATGTTACATTTCTGCGTTACTATACTTTGTAGTGTAACACGTCACGTAACTGTATTTAAATAGGGAACACATGGAAGAGTTTGGTAGCTTCTAACGGGAGCTGATTTGGAACTATACAGTCTGTGGAAGAGGCTGCTGTGCTCCGTTTGCATGACAGAGCATACGGACAAAGACCAGACAGGTACATACAGTATCAACTAGTCTAAGGTAAGGTAAGAACATGTCAGTACGAAAAAACGGTGGCCTATTCCTTTAAGTGTCTTGCCTAATACCAGGTGCCACAGTGGGGCAAACTTGTGAACTTAGGCACAACAACTTCACCCTCATTGCTAAAGCCTGGTTCACACGGCAGGATATTTACTGTAGGCCGATTTAGACCCGATTTACCCCTTACGACAATCTTAAGAAACGCTCCGATTTCCGTAACAAAATCTTAGATTATCCTGCCGTGTGTGGTGTGTTAAGACTGCACTCGTCGCTTGGAAGGACATCGGGACTGCTCCCGATCTCAAATCGGGGATATCCAACATGTTGGATTGTTTTGGCCCGATTTCTCTTCGTGTGTGGTGTCCCCCGAGGACAGACATGCGCGTTGCCATGACTGCGGCGTGTAGCCAATCAGAAGACGAGACGAGGCGGTGAGGAAACGCCTCCATATCACGATGTAGCAAGTATAGTCCATGCTCGTGTTGTCTACACTTCTTTGACCATCGCCTTTTCTTTTGATTACGTCTTTTCTCCGATAAAAACAAACTATCGCCAATGCATCCTCTTCGTCCGCCATGTGTGTTTACTCTGAAGTCACGCTTGATCTCGCGAGACCTGAGATTTCCCTCTGATCTGTGAATACTCGGGGGGTGGGGGGGGGGTGGGGGAATCGGTTCGTGTGTGGTTTGCGTGATTTTTGCCGTGTGGCTGCGCACCACACACTGTACAACCAAAGTGGTTAGACCCGTGATTTTTTATCTCCCTGTGTGGGGTCTCACACAGAAAAATCGGCCGACAATTTTAAAATCGTCTCGTGTGAACCAGGCTTTAGAGTCTGGTTGGTGTTGGTCAGAGGGGCATATGGCACATACTGGTTGCCTCACTTCTGTTAGTGTGCCCACAGCTGGTGCCCCAGTTGTACAGTAGTAGTTTATCACCACAGTGTACGGAGTGAAAGAATCTCGACGTGAAGTGTCTTTGAGTGTCCAAAAAAGCGCATATAAAACCAATGCATTATCCTTATTTATTATTAATGTAGTGATAGGAGAAATATGTGCGTTTCACAAAATAGTTAAGGACTGTGACATTAATATGCAATATTTATATTGTGATATTCATATTGCATATTCCAGGCACTAGCAGAGGCCATGGTCACACGCACGCAGAGGGTCAAGTTTTTTTGGTATTCTCCCCCCCAAAAATACAATATTCATGCAAATTGTTGCTGCCGTTTATGATTACAAAGTTGTCTCATAAATCGTTTTTTTACACACTTGTCCAGGATACACCATTTGCAATAAGTGAGAGTGTTCTTACATATTTGACCTCAGCCTGCAGCTCCTCCACCTCCTTCTTCTGCCGCAGAGACTCTGAATGCAGCTTGGACACCTCTGCGTCTCTGGCCTTCAGGGCTGACTCTGCGTTCCTCCAATGGGTCAGAGCGCTGGTCAGTTCCCCTTCATTCCTCTGTTGCCTGAGGACACGTCATTAATACTGTACAGGACTGGTCTAAAATAACATCAGAGTACAGGAGAACCGTGTAGTTTGGATTGGGGATGGTCTACAACCTTATCCACATGGGAAAAACTTCGGTGTAAATGGCATAAAACATGAACGTGCGCCTGATTAATGTGAGCTAGATCTAGAGTTAGAGTTTATTAAACCGACTAAAATAAAGCCTCAGTCCTGGATCTGGATCTACAGCCTCAGTCCTGGATCTACAGCCTCAGTCCTGGATCTACAGCCTCAGTCCTGGATCTACAGCCTCAGTCCTGGATCTACAGCCTCAGTCCTGGATCTACAGCCTCAGTCCTGGATCTACAGCCTCAGTCCTGGACCTACAGCCTCAGTCCTGAGTGGTCCTTTCAGATGGAGGAGGGTCTAAGGACAGTGATAATTCAGGACATTTCTGGACAGTCGACGATCCCGCTGCCTATGGACCAATGGCTCCTATTCGTTTATTATTGCATTTTCTGTGTTGGAATTGTTTGATTATCTGTTGACGAATCCAAAATTCTGCTGTTTAAACTCAAGATCTGAGTTTGATTAGTCAAAAATATTACATTGTCTTGCTGAACTGGTCCGAAATATTTCTTCAACTAATTACAAAGAATAGACTGAAGATTGCATAGCTTATTTAAAGTAGTATCTCCATGTTAGTTTGTCATATGATCCAACTGACTCAGGGACTGGCCTTCTTCTCGTGCACAGAGTCAGGACTAAACATTCAGATCATGCAGCTAAAATCTGGAACAGTCGTCCTGAAAAGGTGCAACAGGCTTCTATCCTGACAAATTTGACAATATACAAATCCAGGTTAAAAAACATGTTTCACAACATCAATTGAAACAGTGTATCTTCACTCGTTTTATTGCACTGCGATGAATTATGGTTTGAAATTTATTTTTATTTTGATTAAATGTTTTTTTTTAATTCTTATTTGAAAAAAAGATTAATACATATTGTATCACAGGAAGTCAGTAAATATTGGATTTTCTCATTCATTCAATGCCTGCACTCTGCAGAAATGAGTTGACAACAGCTTTAATTATGATTAGTTGCGATTACTCGATTAACTTGTTACAGCCATAAGTAAATCAAAAACAGTCTTGTCCAACTTTCTTAGATATATCTCTCGCTTCACCTACTTGTTGTGCAGTTTCTTGTACTCGTCGGAGAGGTTCCCCATCTCGATCTGCAGCCGGGCCTTCTCCTTGGCCACCCCGTCCAGAGTGCTCCTCACGTCGGCCAGCTCCTCTTCGTACAGCCGCCTCATGTTCCCCATCTCCCGGCCCGCGCACTCGTCGCTCTGCTCCAGTTGGACCAGGAGAGACGCGCGCTCGGACTCCAGCTCCTGCACCCGGTGGATGTAGTTGGCGAGGCGGTCGTTGAGGCTCCGTAACGAGTCCTTCTCCTGGAGCCGGGACAGACGCGTGGGACTCGGGCCGGTGCTCATGCTCATGCCCCGGCCCGAGGAGCGCGTATTCCGGGCACCGCGAGTCGCAGCTGGGGTGGAGGTAGCAGAGGCCATGGTCACACGCACACGTACGTACGCGCACGCACACAGAGGGATGCTACTTATTAGAGATGGAGTTTGGTTAATTTAAAACAGAGCGATCCACGCACACAATCCCAGTTTAATCCCTCGGGTATAATCTCATGCGTTTGGAGACACAGTGCCGCGTCCACCTGCTTTCCTCCAAGAGTTTGGGGACAGATCCAGCTGAAACTAATCACTGATGAAACTATCGCTGATGACTTGTTCAGGGCTTAAGTCTCCCACAGTGACCGCTCTCTTCCGTATGGACAGCCTACAAAATAAGAGAGCTGAGATGAAGACAGGGATCAGTCCTTTCAGGTCTTTATTTAGTTAATTAAAGGTGTGGTACATATCTTCTTAAACTACACAACACCGAATTATGAAATAAAGTGGGGCGGCTGCGGCTGTAAAGTGCCAAACTGTCGTGGTGGCAAGACACTTTACCCACAATGCCTAAAATGAGTCCGATCTGTGTGTAAATGGCTGGTGGTGGTCGGAGGGGCCGATGGCACATATTGGTTGCCTCGCTTCTGTCAGTGTGCCCCAGGGCTACAGTAGTAGTTCACCACCAATGAATGGAAGATTAGGGACATGTGAAGCGTCTTTGAGTGTCCAAAAAAGCACAATATAAAACCTATGCGTTCTTATTTGTATTATAATCCATGTTGCTAGGACCAGAGAGAGTGACCCCAGAGTGAGACCAGAGTGAGACCAGAGAGAAAGAAGACCATATCACTAGTTCCTCGCCCTCAAAACAGTTTGCTTCTATCAGTAGCTTTCACGTGTATGTTTCTATTATAGCCAAATTTGTGGTTGTGTCCTTCTGCAAGACTTTTCATCAGCATTATAATGAGTCTGTTGTGTGTGCGGACGGTTGGTGGTGAGAGGGTCTTGGCAACATGTCTGCCCAGGTTACAGCGCGAACCTAACTCCGTCAGAACAGCTGCCCATATAAGGTAACCAGCTCCATCCTATCTTTAACTCGCCCTCTTCTGCTGTGAGACTAATAGTGTGGTGATGTCTCGCTGTTTTTTTAGTTGTTCCTTACCAATGTAGGAGGATCTAAGACAGTAGGGATGATTCAGGAATTAATAATATCTGGATAGGGTATTACTAGCTTATAGTTGTCCCACCAAGGGGTACAGGGGGCGCCTGCGGTACTGCACACTAAATTAACGCGGGCTGCCCACAAAAATGTCCCATAGAACTCAATGTAAACTAAAACAGCTCGACCTCAGCTGACAAAGAACTTACAGCTTTCATAAAGATCGTATTTTGTGGGGATTATAGTGTCACTTGTCATCCTGAACTGTTTTTCTTCTTAAATCCTTTGGTTTTCTATAAATCAACACTTTAATGCAGCAAACTCTGCTCGTTTTCTTCCCGCTCTAGCGCCACTCTAGCTCCGCTCTCATCACCAGCGCTGATTGGTCAGAGCCCCGCCGAGCCCCTCTGTGCACGTGCATGAGTGCCACACACGCGTATTTGGCACAAAGCGTCATAGGAGCTTGTCCACTGCGCAAAATATGGGCGAGTTCAGCTAATCTTCTGGTGCTCCTGTATGTCCCATGCACTACTGCGCACAAGCCATTCATTTGAATAGGGCGCCATCTTGGATTGCCAGGGCTTGGATCATAGACTGTACATATTATACAATATATATAATAATAATTGGACCCAGGACAGTTAACATTCAACAGCATTTGTGGTTGGACATTGGTCTTCTGCCTCTTATGGACTAATGGCTATGTGTTTTTTATTATGTCCTGTCCAAGATATCTACTGTTTTGATTTGGGGGCTGTACAAAAATAAATGTAATTGAATTGAATTGACCCTGTGGTGATGTCCCCTCTCCTACATATGGACGATGATCCTGACCCACAACGGAGACCTCCATGTTGTTGTTCTCTGAGTTTTATTTTGAAAGTGAGACTCTCCGGAGCATCCTGTTGTTTGCTCTCACTGCTGCTGCTTCACCTGCTGTGAATCAGCTGATTCATGACTGGAGCTGACGTCATCCACAGGAATAAAGATGGTATTCTCTAACTGCCTAGATCCACATCATCGGAGCAGACACACAGTCACTAAACACTCAGAGGGGAAGATCACAGACAATCACAGATCCAGGATCAGATCATGGAGACACTTTTTGGTACATGATTATTATTTCTCACAAAGAAATATTATTATATCATACATTATTATTTCACACTAGAAAGACATGATAAAGAAATTGAAGTGAGACCATACAGAGAGAGAGAGAGAGAGAGAGACCTGAGAGGGACAAGAGTGAGACCAGAGAGGGAGAGATCTGAGCGAGACCAGATAGTGCTTCAGTAATGTTTTGCTGCTGTTGTTTACCTTCATGATGTTGACATATTTGATTTAATTATGCAGTGAAGAGGTCTGCGATATTGAGCTTCCTTCTTTACAGCTCAACTCTGTTCCTGTGAGCTCAAATAAGCAATCAAATGAAGCTTGATTTTATTCAATTCACTTCCATATATTTGTATCTCGCCCTCGTCATCTCAAAGGACTATATTAAATTGTGGATTCACCAACAGCAGATCATGTTGTTGACAACAGTTTATTCTAAAAAGGCACTATCAGCGCTTTTGTAAAAATGATAATCCACACATTCTTGGAGATGTAGTCACTGCTGCGGCCAGCAGGGGGCAGCAGGTCTCTATACGGAAGACCTCAGATCATTAAAACCTCTTTAGCCTCCTGTCCTTCAAACTGTCATACTCCTCCTGTGAGCATGATACGTACAGCAACTCTATAGATACAGTATACGTTCCACTATTTAAGTTAAACACACTTCACATTTGAAGCTATACTGTAGACTCATATTTCCACCTCAGGAAACAGCTACACAGAGGCACTGCTACAACAGGCAAGAGAGGGCATGAGAATGGTGCCCCTAAGAAAATACAACAAATACTGAGGATGTACAGCCTCAGTCCTAAATCTTCAGCCTCATGGGGCTTTCAGACCGCAAACGCTCAAACGCTGAAGCCTCGCTCACCAGACGCGCATTCTCTAGCTTTCAGACACATGGGACTTCACACCAGAACGTCCTGACCAGCGCCGGAAGTGGCGGAAGTAGCCGGCCGGCTCTGATGCGAACAGAGTTATGCTAGCGGCTTCTTGTGTAAAGATCTTCTCCAATAATGCAGCTCTGCAGGGTCTCTGTGTTCAGAGACCTTCCACGGATTTTATATAACAGTAGTATGTGTTCACGGAGGTGCGCAATAAGTTTATTTGATTATTAAACGGTACTTCCGCATCGGCGAACACACTCGAAGCAGTTGCATAGAGTCACGGGAGCATGCAAACTCACATGTTAACAAGCACTATGTCCCCCATTGTCAACCCTGGTTTTAAGTCGTGGGTAGCTCCTGTTTTGGCTGTTTACAGTATGTTCAGTCTGCTCAGTCAGACCACTAACGTCCCCGTGACCACTTTGCGGCTCTCTGATTGGTCGCTGCACGAACGTCCCGACAAAAGCTTGAGCAAAGTTTATCTCCTGTGGGCGTCCATTTTCCGCTCCTGCGCCTCCTCTTCGACTTTCCCGCGCAGTCCGTGCGTGTCTACTGAACAGTCCGTTTGTGCTTCCCGAGATGTTCGTGCGTTGTGACGCCCTAGATCTACAGCCTCAGTCCTAGATCTACAGCCTCAGTCCTGGATCTACAGCCTCAGTCCTAGATCTACAGCCTCAGTCCTGGATCTACAGCCTCAGTCCTAGATCTACAGCCTCAGTCCTAGATCTACAGCCTCAGTCCTAGATCTACAGCCTCAGTCCTGGATCTACAGCCTCAGTCCTAGATCTACAGCCTCAGTCCTAGATCTACAGCCTCAGTCCTGGATCTACAGCCTCAGTCCTGGATCTACAGCCTCAGTCCTAGATCTACAGCCTCAGTCCTGGATCTACAGCCTCAGTCCTGGATCTACAGCCTCAGTCCTAGATCTACAGCCTCAGTCCTGGATCTACAGCCTCAGTCCTGGATCTACAGCCTCAGTCCTAGATCTACAGCCTCAGTCCTGGATCTACAGCCTCAGTCCGCCGTGGGAGCAGATCCACGTATCGGTCAGTGTAGTTCACCCGACTAGTCCAGGGGCCGACATCACGAACTGAAAAACTGGCTTGACTGCATCGGGCTGTTCTGATGATAATCTATAACAGAGCTGAAGTTGGCTGAATGACAAATGTTAACCATCTCACTAGATACATTAGCATCATGAACGGAAGTGACACAATCAAAAACCATGTCATGTGCAAACAAAGTCAACGACGTACTGGGCTTTAGAACAAAGTTTATGTTGGCTGAGCTGAAGTTGGATGGACTTGTGTTTATGATCTCAAAGACTACTTTGGGTTAGCAAGGCAGAGGGCCACATATAAGTACACTGGGGGCCACAGTTGGCCCCCGACCCTGAGTTTGGACATGCCTGGTGTAAGAACTTTGATGATCTGTAAAGTCTTCCGAGACGAATGCTGTTGTGATTTATGGTGATACAGTTCTGTTATAGGCCTAGAATAGATGGAACAATCCATTGATTTGGAAACTGAGATTTGTGGTGTGTATCAGTATCCATAGTGATACACAAATACATTGAATTAAAACTACCAGAGAGAGTGAGATTTAGTGGCTACAAAAAGAGATATTGTGGCTACTAAAAGAGACAAATTCATACATACTCCACCCAGTGGCTACTCCACACCTGTTGCAGTGACCCGTCCTGCTCAGTGGCTACTCCATCTCTGCTGCTGTGACCCGAAAGGCTATTGCTGAATAAAGTCTCCTACTTAAACATGTCTGTTTTCTGTGGGAGTATACTTTTTTAATTCTTTTATTGTGATTATGTGTAATTTTGAAACACGATAAACACCTATCTGGTGAGATATTAGTGATGTAATGTATGCATTCTTATATTATATAAAATTATATATTATATTCTTCTATATGCATATTTCTTAAATAACATGCTTATAATGAAAAAAGCCAATGCATAAAAGATGAATATGATGAATGCCTATTGAAAGAGCCGGACACAATCATCTAGAGTCATGCATGGCGCATAGAGCGATAGGATCTTGACGATCCTGACCCTGGCATTAGACCACATGTGGTTTCCGCCCTCTCCATCCTTCACCTTTTACTTTGGCGGTGCAGACAGGAAAAAGACTTTCTCTCACCAACTTCACACTGGTACCAACTTGTGTGTGTGTGCTGCCGTAGTGCTTCTGCCGCTGCTGCTGCTGTGAGCTCCAGAAGACCCGACATTCTCACGCACGGCTCCTTCTCTCTCCTCATTTTTACGCACGGCTCCTTCTGTCTCCTCATCCTCACGCACGGCTCCTTCTGTCTCCTCATCCTCACGCACGGCTCCTTCACCACAGACCAGTGGCAGTAGATTGCATCTCGGACTATTCCCCCCGTTTAACCCCGGTGCGTGTTATATGGACGATATTTTAGGACTACTGCGTGGGGGCGGACGCTAATAGAGGTAAGTGCGCGGTGTGAGACAGATGAGTCAAATGTGATGTTTGGACATGTGTAGTTTAGCCTAAAGTTGGAAATCTTTGCGGATTCGGACCATGAACAGTGGAGCGTGCTCTGTCTATAAGCCCAACTTCAGCAGCATCACGGGGCGACTCCAAAGAGAAACGAGAGAGAGGGAGACCAGATGGAGACCAGAGAGAGTAACCAGAGAGAGAGAGAGAGACACCAGATAGAGAGACCAGCGAGAGATCAGAGAGAGAGAGACCAGATAGAGACACCAGCGAGAGAGACCAGACAGAGACCAGAGAGAAACCAGAGAGAGAGACCAGAAAGAGAGACCAGAGAGAGGGAAAGAGAGTTTATGTGTGTGTGTGTGGCAGATAACTCAATGAGAAAATGGGGATATTTCATTCACAAAGTCCACATCTAATTTATCAATGGCATTATGTGTTTGTCTTGTAAAAAGTAAGGACGAATCTGACCACAACATGCTGTTGTTGTCTCTTGATGCGAGAGCCCTGTCAGTCACTATTTGAGCTGAGAGCTGATTGGCAGAGTGAAGGTGGTCCTCTCTTACCCAAACACACATGGATGTGGAAACTAGTAACATGTCTTGAGAGTTAGTGATGGGTTTTATGGATTTTACAACATCATTTTCTTGCTGTGGTTTGAAAGTCAGGTACCCCAGCTTTAACATCACAATTACTGTTGAATAGCCCTTTTTATCTAAATCACTTGATCACAATGCAATTTTATATATTTTCTTATTGCCCTAAAACACAAAATCACACATACACAAAAAAACACAGAGCCATTCGTCCATAAGGGGCGGGTGACCATGTCCATAAATGTTAAATAAATGGCCCAGATCATCACTGCACCATCGTCTGCAATGACAAGGAACCACTCAGAATCATATTGAGGGGGATCTGCCCCCACAATGACCGATTCAATCTGAAGAAACCAAAGACACAATTAATACATTAATATGATTTATTTATTTGGCGGCAGAGACACTTGCAGCGATGAGATTGATTGCAGCTGAAGATGATCTCAGATCCCCCGGGGTCAAGCACTGTTGGTGGCTAGAGTATGGTGTGAATGGAGTGTAGGCGGAGCAGGAGCCAGAGCAGGAGCCAGAGCGGGAGCCTAGAGCGGAAGCCGGAGGAGGTGCTGGAGGTGGTGGGTGTTAAGAGCTTCAGGAAGCGCTGCTTCTCAGGAAGTGGCTGCCTTTTAAACTGACCGCTTTGCTGTCAGAGGGTTGGCAGGAGGCTGGCCAGGCTGTGTGATTGGCAGAGGCTCGGGGCTGGCAGAGCTGTGTGATTGGCTGAGGCTCTGGGCTGGCAGAGCTGTGTGATTGGCTGAGGCTCGGGGCTGGCAGAGCTGTGTGATTGGTTGGCTTGGAAGGGGGAATTTGCTCTCGGTCTTTCAGTCTGAATTTGCGCCTTCAGCTTCATTATTGTCTCTTCACTCTTTTTAATGCACTTTGATTCTTTTATTTTTTACTAAATTATCAAACCACAAAATTGGATTTTTTTACCCATCGCCATACGTTGTTTGATTCAGTTGTGTTCAGATATGTTTTTGGCCTCTGACACATCTTTAGAGATGCTTTTTCAGACAGAGAAATGAAAAAGAGAGGACCACCCTCACTCAGCCAATCAGCTTGAGTGGTTTCTTACTGAGGCAGGAGGATCTAAGGACAGTAATGATCCAGGACATCTATGGACATTATTGCAGTTCCTGTTTTCTAATGGTTTGATTCTCAAATATGTTGCCTTTAAAAAAGCCCTCCAGATGACTGTAGTGAATTACAAATATACAAACAACATTGAATTGAACCCTCAGGCCAAAGCATCAAATAGTTTAAGGCTCTTCATTTATGTGTACCTTTTTACAATGGACCAGAGAGAGAGACCAGAGAGAGACCGAGAGGCCGGAGAGAGAGACCAGAGAGAGAGTTTTTAGTTTTTTAGTGGGAGGGAGAACCGGTGCACCTGTAGGAAATGTATGCAGACACAGGGAGGACATGCAAAATCCACTCAGAAAGACCGTCTTGCTAATAAGCAAAAGCATAAACTACTCAGCAATTCACTGGACAGAAGTTTTCAGAACAATTTATCACACCTCTACAAACTCAAAAATCAGATTCTTCTCTATAATTCTCTCCCAACAAAGAAAGGAGTCTCACTCAAGTCGCTTCTGCCAAACAGACGTTGAGTCAACTGATCACTTATTTTGGTGCTGTCCTATGGTGGCAGCCTTTTGGGTTCATATTTCTAATATTCTAAATAATGTAAACATACAATTTGAACTGTGTCCCTCCCTCGTCAATGTTACTAGGGTTCCTAGGGAAACACTTCATATTTAAGTCTAGTAACGAAAGATCTTTAAATACTGCAAGCTTTAGGCCCCGTCCCAATTCTGAGGGCACTCGAGTTGTGAGTGCCCTTATTTATTATGTTGAGCACTACCACAGTTTAGAAGAATGCTCAGTAAAGAAAACTCCATCCATCCATCCATTTTCTTCCGCTTCATCCGTTGCCGGGTCGCGGGGGCAGCAGTCTAAGCAGAGACGCCCAGACTTCCCTATCCACACACACCTCCTCCAGCTCGTCCGGGGGGACTCCAAGGCGTTCCCAGGCCAGCTGAGAGACATAGTCCCTCCAGCGTGTCCTGGGTCTTCCCCGGGGCCTCCTCCCGGTGGGACATGCCCGGAACACCTCCCCAGGGAGGCGTCCAGGAGGCATCCGGAACAGATGCCCGAGCCACCTCAACTGGTTCCTCTCGACGTGGAGTAGCAGCGGTTCTACTCCGAGCTCCTCCCGTGTGACTGAGCTCCTCACCTTATCTCTAAGGGAGCGCCCAGCCACTCTGCGGAGGAAGCTCATTTCGACCGCTTGTATCCGCGATCTTGTTCTTTCGGTCATTACCCAAAGCTCATGACCAAAGGTGAGGGAGGGGACGAAGATTGACCGGTAAATTGAGAGCTTTGCCTTTCGGCTCAGCTCCCTCTTCACCACAACGGTCCGATACAGCGACCGCATCACTGCGCACGCTGCACCGATCCGCCTGTCAATCTCACGCTCCATCCTTCCCTCACTCGTGAACAAGACCCCGAGATACTTGAACTCCTCCACTTGAGGAAGGGCCTCTCCACCCACCCGGAGAGGGCAAGGCACCTTTTTCCGGTCGAGCACCATGGCCTCAGATTTGGAGGTGCTGATTCTCATCCCAGCCGCTTCACACTCGGCTGCAAACCGTCCCAGTGCATGTTGTAGGTCCTGGTTCGTTGGAGCCAACAGGACAACATCGTCTGCAAACAGCAGAGATGAAATCCTGTGGTCCCCGAACCGGACCCCCTCCGACCCTTGGCTGCGCCTAGAAATTCTGTCCATGAATACAGTGAACAGAACCGGTGACAAAGGGCAGCCCTGGCGGAGGCCAACATGCACCGGGAACAGGTCTGACTTACTGCCGGCAATGCGCACGCAGCTCTGGCTCCGGTCATACAGGGACCGGACGGCCCTCAGCAGAGGACCCCGGACCCCGTACTCACGGAGGACCCCCCAAAGGACACCCCGGGGAACACGGTCGAACGCCTTCTCCAAATCCACAAAGCACATGTGGACAGGTTGGGCGAACTCCCATGAACCCTCGAGTATCCGATGGAGAGTGTAGAGCTGGTCCAGTGTTCCATGGCCGGGACGAAAACCACACTGCTCCTCCTGAATCCGAGATTCGACCATCGGCCGTAACCTCCTCTCCAGTACCTTGGAGTAAACCTTACCAGGGAGGCTGAGGAGTGTGATCCCACGATAATTGGAACACACCCTCCGGTCCCCCTTCTTGTAGAGAGGGACCACCACCCCGGTCTGCCACTCCATTGGCACCGCCCCCGATCGCCACGCGATGTTGCAGAGACGTGTCAGCCAAGACAGTCCTACAACATCCAGAGACTTTAGATAGTCAGGACGGATCTCATCCACTCCCGGCGCCTTGCCACCAAGGAGGCTGCCAACCACCTTGGTGACCTCTGCCAGGGTGACAGAAGTATCCGCCCCAACATCCTCAGCCTCTGCCTCCGGAGCGGAGGACGTGACGGGGGGATTGAGGAGAACCTCAAAGTATTCCTTCCACCGTCCGACAATATCCCCGGTCGAGGTCAGCAGCTCACCCCCCGCACCGTACACGGTGTTGGCAAAGAACTGCTTCCCCCTCCTGAGGCGCCGGACAGTTTGCCAGAATCTCTTCGAGGCCGACCGATAGTCATGCTCCATGGACTCTCCGAATTCCTCCCAGTCCCGGGTTTTTGCCTCTGCAACAGCCCGGGCCGCGGCACGCTTGGCCTGCCGGTACTGGACAGCTGCCTCAGGAGTCCCCCGAACCATCATGGCTCGATAGGACTCCTTCTTCAGCCTGACGGCATCCCCTACTGCCGGTGTCCACCACCGGGTTCGGGGGTTGCCGCCGGGACCAGCACCAGAGACCTTGCGACCACAGCTACGAGCCGCCGCATCGGCGATAGAGGAAGAGAACATGGTCCACTCAGACTCAATATCCCCCTCCTCCGTCGGGACCTGGGAGAAGCTCTCCCGGAGGTGTGAGTTGAAAGTCCGTCTGACAGGGGTCTCAGCGAGACGTTCCCAGCAGACCCTCACTACACGCTTGGGTTTGCCAGGTCTGACCGGCTTCTTCCCCTGCCAGCGGATCCAACTCACGACCAGGTGGTGATCGGTTGACAGCTCTGCCCCTCTCTTTACCCAAGTGTCCGAAACACGCGGCCGAAGTTCAGATGATACGACAACAAAGTCGATCATCGACCTCCGGCCTAGGGTGTCCTGGTGCCACGTGCACTGGTGGACACCCTTGTGCTCAAACATGGTGTTCGTGATGGACAAACCGTGACTAGCACAGAAGTCCAACAACTGAACACCACTCGGGTTCAGATCAGGGGGGCCATTCTTCCCGATCACCCCTCTCCAAGTGTCACTGGCGCTTCCCACATGGGCGTTAAAGTCCCCCAGGAGAATGACGGAGTCCCCGGGCGGTGCACCGTCCAGTACCCCTCCCAAGGACTCCAAGAAGGCCGAGTACTCTGCACTGCTGTTTGCCTGGCCTGCCAAACGATATGCTTTTTCAAAGACATATAGTCTGGGAACGAGCTTGATCTCTGCGAATTCCCGGTGGGCGTGGTTGACAGACTGCATCAACCAATTAGATGCACACAGGATATGACGCAGCAACTAGCGGCACCCAAGCCGTTTCAGTAAACACAAAACAAGGGATGGCGGCATGTCAGCTAGTGCAAATGTAAACGACTGCTGTCGATTTTGTAACAAAAACTTAAAGATACGAGGAGTTATTACAGTAGCAACTCAAAGGTGAAAGGAAGTCCCGCCTCTCGGTGCGTGATTGGACCGATGTGGGTAAAATCGTGAAATGATAGGCTAGGAAGAGGTGTCCAGACGGTTCTTCTTTTGAACAGAAAGGAGGAGTGTCTGGCAGGCCAGGCAACACTGCTGTTAGGCCCGTAGGCCGTCACAACAGTGAGAGACTTGTCCCCCACCCGAAGGCAGAGGGACGCGACCCTCTCATTCACCGGGGAGAACTCCAACACGTGGCGGCTGAGATGGGGGGCAATGAGTATGGCCACCCCAGCTCGCCGCCTCTCCCCGCGAGAAACACCAGAAAAGTGGAGCGTCCAACCCCTCTCAAGGAGTTGGGTTCCAGAGCCCAAGCTGTGTGTGGAGGTGAGGCCGACTATCTCTAGTCGGTACCTCTCGACCTACCCCACAAGCTCGGGCTCCTTCCCCCCCAGTGAGGTGACGTTCCACGTCCCAAGAGCCAGATGTTGGGTGTGCGGACTGGGTCGCCGAGGTCTCCGCCTTCGACTGCTGCCCAGTCCTCTCTGCACCGAGCCGCCACGGACGGAAAAGAGTAAAGAAAACTCCGAAAACGAAAAAGAAAAACACAAAAATATGTGAGAGAAAATGATTGATGCATTGTCAATGGAAAGACATTCTGATTATTGGACATTTTTAGTTTTTGTGGAAAGGTGAAAGAAATCGTTTTTTTTGTTTTTTTTGTTTGTCCCTTGCGTGTGTTTTTTGTTGTTTGTCTGTCTTGATGTTCATTGTCCTTACATAATAATAATACAAACAAAACTTATCAGCCACTGTGCTTCCTCCAAATCCATAGTATTACAATATTATCAATGAGGATTCTGTCATTAGTCAAGTTCAATCGCATTACCAAAAGATATTGACTTTCATAGTGGACAAAGGGTTTTATTAGAATTGTATTTATTGGTTTCCATAGTAATCTGTCTTCTACATCTGCTTAACAAATAAAGTTCATCGGATAAAAACAAATTCTATGACTGTGTGTCTTAGTCATGCCTTTTTGTGTCAACAACATTCACTTTAAATCCTGCTTCTTCAGTTCCCTTGTTTATGTCTAGACTTATTTATCAGATTGGTCAGTATCCTCCCCGGTGAAGATGAGCTCAGATGACTCATTGACATGTTTTTCTCACAGGATTTTGGGAGATTCAGAGACGCAAGGAGCTGAAGATGTTGCTCGTCTGGAGGGCGAGGCTTCTGCTCACGCTTGCCACGCTCACGGTGGGACGCACACACACACACAGGCACACACACAGACAACACCACATCACACACGCCTAATACCTTAGAAAAGGGAATTATTAGAATTGTATTTATTGGTTGGTATAGTAATCAACATACATTTGCACAACTCTGCAGACATATTGTGTATTGCTTCAGGTTGGTTAAATGTGGTTATGATTTGGTGCTTAGACTCTGGCAGAGCACCGTGACAAATGTAGGAGGGGAAATGAAATGAGTATGAGTTGAAATCCCCCAGGACCTGACCCTGATGCTGGGAGCTAAGAGAAAGGTTGAAGAGATGGTCTGGCTGAGGTGATGATAGAAAGGAGGAGGGTTTCTGCAAGATGTGAGAGCTCGATGCAGGGCTTTGTTTTAATGCTACCATCTCAGTGTGATTGGCTGAGTGCTGATGCGGCGCAGCAGCAGGAGGACTGAGATCAGTGAGACTGTGCCACAGAGAGTTTTCCGTCTGAACCTCTGCTTTACCCTCATGTTGACCCAGATCATCACAGAGATTTGGACACATTAATTGATTTAATAAAAAATAACATGGTTTTCGTACACTTAAAGACGTTTCACATAATTATTCATTCACTCCATACATGACTACTTCTGCTTAGCTTCGAAGGTCTGACAGATCAGGCTTTCACATGCAGCTATGAAAACTCTGCTGACAAGCTATTCTTTTTTTAGAGACTTACAAACTGGAGCTTTAAAATGCGTGACTCATATAATGGAACAGCTGAAGTTGGCTGTCTACTATGTTGGTATTATGTTGTGGAGACGTATTACACTCATCAATAATAAATGTGTGGCTTGTGTCGCAATACGTAGATTCTGAGATAGAGGAGCAGGGTCTGCTGTCAGAGCTGTATCAGACTGCTGTGGTGAAGAGGGAGCAGCGTCTGCAGTCAGAGCTGTAGATAGATAGATAGATACTTTATTGATCCCTCGTAGGACAAATTCAGGTGTCCAGTAGCAGCAGAGACACATCCATCCATCCAAACAAACAAACAATAAATAATTAGACAGTCCTGTCTGAATGTAGGTCCAACAGATAGGACCAAACCGCCATTGTCATATAGTGACTCACATGGCTCTCAAACATGCCAAAGATTCCAGGAGGGAAAACCAATATCAAATACGGATATTTCAAATGTACTAAATATACAATAATTTCAGGCACAAGCACATTCTGTCTTATTTACCATTCATAAAGTTATAATGACAAGAATTAAATAAAATTTATATTTGTATAGCCCTACATCACAACAGTACAGTAGTTTTCCCGGAGGACTCCACACAATTGTTGAAATCGCCAACACAAAAAGGTTCAAATTAACAAAAATAAAAACAAAAACACACTGATATTGGTCCATAAGGGGCTGTGTTGATAAAGAAGGTATATATTCAAAGTTATAAATGATACTATAAATGAATTGACCACATAAGCCTCTCTCTATCTCTTGTCTCTGTCTGATCTCACCTACTCTTTGGTCTCTCTCTCCCTCTCCCTCTTTCTTGTCTGTTCCCCGCCCTCTCCTCCTTTTCTTTCCACCTTGAATGTTGAACTGAGAAAGTGGATTTTGCTGCGGTGAGGTGGCTGGAGGTAATTTGCACAAGACCATCCCGACTCTTCCTTTGATCCCAGAAGAGCAGTGGAGCTCCTCTCAAACAGCCTTTCCAGCTGTCTCTCTGTCAAAACAAAACACCAGATTTTGTCAGAATTCAATGAACATAGATTTAATTAGAGCTGGACTTCCCCCAGCTCCATTCTCAGCCAGCTCCACGGCTAGCACAAGCCGACCTCCTAAATTAAACGGTTAGCACACATGTGAGGAGGTAGGTGCAGGAGAACAGAGCTTGTATGAGGAGTGGACTGACTGAGTATGACATATGATAATATAAAATAAAGTTGATCGATCTCACAGTGGAGAAATTTGTACAGCTCATAAGAAGTTGCTAATGCTAATGTTTGTATACCTATCAGATTGTTAGGGGGGAGCGAAGGGGAGAGGAGGAGGGTCCTCAAAAATGAGAAGCCTGTGCGGAAGTTGGAGGGTGGTGCTGTGGGATGAAGAAAAGACCTTTTAATGCGGAAGAGGCTCATACATCCATGTAGAGCCAAATGTTTGCAGATGTTATTAGTCACGGCGCTGCTTGTTTCCCACTCTTGCTACTGTACTCGCTAGTTAAAGCCAAGGGTCCTGATTAGTCAATCTTTATATGGCTGATATCTGCGTTTACAAAGACAATATCACAATCTAAACACATAGGATCAAAAAGAGTCCAAAATGGTGAGTGTGACACAAACAGTTACTGAGCGAAAGGAGTACGGAAGCTGCGTTGTCTCTGATCAGCTGTGGTTACCGGATGTGCAATATGTCTTTCACCGGATTAGTATTACCTGTTGAAAAATTTACTGACGCAAATTTACTGAAATTTGCGTCAGTAAATTTAAAAAATTTACTGACGCAATTTTTTAAAAATTGCGTCAGTAAATGATTATATTTTCACTGCCATTTAGTAATGACGGACACATAAAGGCCACACATGCACAAGTCTCTCCGCTTCACGCAGCCCAAAGGATCCATGCAGTGATGCGGCTCCAGTCCAAACACATGGGAAACATGTTTGGGCTGATGGCCCTTGGCATCAGATTTTCTCCACACACACAGCACTTGTATTTAAAGTTTAGAGGAAACCTGTGAGATGCGGCTCTCCTCTCATGAAAAGAGGCGCTTGTCACTCGTTGCTCTCGCAATGTGTTATTATGTGCCGCATTATAGTTTGCTGCTGAAAAACTTCAAAAATGCAAATCAACATTTCTACAGTAGCCTCCATGGATTGGGAAGAGATATGAAAAGGCGCAAGATATTGACTAAACACAATGCAGAAGGTAGAGAAGGCGGCAATAGCAATCACAGTCACTGACATGCAGACTCCCACAGGATTAATCAGACACTAAAATAATAAACAGATAATAAATTAATAAATATCTGTCTTTACCAGTATTACTGTGTTCAATTCTCCATTTTGAAGATTCCTATTGCATGCTTGTCTTTTATTTATTATTTTTTTCATATTCTGGTATTGCTTAATTGCTTTACTCTTTATTGCTTCTAAAAGATGTATGTGCCTCATCCGCAGCTCCAGCTGAACATCCATTCGTCAGCGTCCTTTATGAGATTACCTTGGAATATACACACGAGAGAGAGAGAGAGAGAGAGAGAGAGAGAGAGAGAGAGAGAGAGACGGAGACGGAGAGAGAGAGTTTTATATATATATATATATATCATATAGTAATAATGGTATTTACGGTTATTTTTTACCTCCTCCTGAAGCTGGATTCTCCTTGATGAGTTTCAGACTCTTGCCAGCGGAGCTCAGTGCTGTCCTTGAGTTGCTTCTTTGTGAGTTTGTTTGAATCTGAGCTTCTCGAACAGTTATTTAGTGAGAAAACCCGAGTGGACCTCTGCAGTGTTTGGTATTGATCGCTGCTTTTAGGTGAAGTTGACGAGTTGAAGTCTGCCTCTCTGACTCAGAACCAGGTCACGGAGATAAACTCTGCTCTGAAGCTGACTCCACATTCTGCGGCAGTTGCAGAAGTTGGTGCAAAGTAAGTTAGACACGGTTTTATTGAATTATGGTTATTACTCCAGCAGCCAACAATATCATACAATAACTTGTCTAAAGTGTGTGCTTTGAAGTTTCAATATCGGATCATTTTGGATCTTAATTTGTTTCTATGTAAGAAATCTCCATCCATTTTCTTCTGCTTTATCCGTTGCCGGGTCACGGTGGCAGCAGCATGAGCAGAGACGCCCAGACTTCCCTTTCCACTCACACACTTGCTTCAGCTCATCCCGGAGAATCCCAAGGGGTTTCTGGGCCAGCTGAGAGACACATTCCCTGTGGTTTGGGTCTTCTCCTGGCCTCCTGGTGGTTTTTTTTTTTTTAAGGACATTGAGTTGCCTTGTGTATGAACTGTGGTATACAAATAACTGTGTCTTGCCTTCTTCGCGGGGTGTATATCGGACCAAAACCCTTCAGACCGCTTTGATTCTCATCAAATTGAGTGCGGTTTTTGAACATACTCCATGTCCTTGGCACAGGAAGATGACATGAGGACATCAGGGAAGACATGGGGTAGACATGGAAGAGACATGGGAGAGACATGGGGGAAGCATGGCGTGGGATATGGGGGAGACAACAATATATGGCTTCAAACTAATTACAATGAGTGGACTTTGTTTGTGTTTTCCATCAGGATTTTATGATTTGTCCTAAATCATCAGATGTATACATCGAGAAAGATTCACGTCCAGATTCCAAGGCTTGAGGTTGTCCTTTGTGGAACCTTCACCTGCCTTTGCTCCTCTGATCCCTGACTCAGAGGCTCATGTGGAGAGGAGGAGGCAGAGGGGAGGCAGGTGCTCATCCACTCACTCTGGAGCCTCATTACAGTCAATGTGGAGACAGGACAGAGCTGTTGGTGTGTATTTCACCTGTCAATCACAGACTAGCTGAAACTGCCATCTCTCTTTGCAGGTGTCTAACGCCAGCCTTAGAGATAATTAAAGAGCGACTAAACACCTGTGCCCAGCCTTACTCCGCCCAAATGAAGATTTGAAAATGTTCTCTAAAAAGGGCGTTGCCTGGAGGACCAAGGGACAAGAAGGGGGGCTTAGAGTTGGGCGTGGTCTGTGCTGTGATTGACAGCTCACTTGTCACACAAAAAAAAAACAGACAGTTGTCATTGCTGCTTAAAGCAATAGTTTACAGACCAGAAAGTCTCATTCCACCCTTGTTTACACACTAAGACAGGGGTCTCCAACCTGTAGCTCGGGAGCCACCAGTAGCTCGCCAGCCCCTTACAGGTAGCTCGCCAAAGAAATTAGACTTTAACAAATACACTTAAACGAATCCTTTTTGACCCATTACATATCTATTATAAGTATACATATAGGGTTATACAGTAATATGGTGTATTTTATATGTGTTTATATGTGTTCAGTCGTAATTGTAAGGTTTGATGTTTTATTATTGATAGAAAATGTTTTATTTTGACACTTCCTGTCTCAACCGGAAGTCAAGTGGCTCGTGCAACATCAGACGGAGAAACGTACAGTGTATGGACGTTACAAACAAACAGATGGTCTAGTAGTCAATGGTCTAAAGAGGAAACAGAGCCAATATGGTATAAAAGAAACAACAACAACGTTTAGCAACAGTTGAGATAGAGGGAACAAGGTGAGATTGATTTTATTTGTGTAACAATTGTTTCTTTGAATGTGTAGCTAAAATAATTGTGATATAACGGTTTACAATGTAATTGATGCTAGATAGTATTTGGACATGATTGTAAGTTTATTTTCATTTCTGTTCTAGCTCTTACGTTGGTGATATGAATATATGGAAGGACAAAATAAACTTCATTTTAACCATCAGTTCTGGCTTCGACTATACACTCAACTGGACGCTACAGTAATTATTAGATCCATTTTATTATGACTGCAAAAATGAGTAGCTCTCTGCCTGTTTGTTTGTATAAAAGTAGCTCTCTGATTAAAAAAGGTTAGAGACCCCTGCACTAAGATAATTGTAAAGCTACACACCTGAACCTAATCACACTCAATAATCTCAGAATTACTCATTTAATTTAATTTGAATCCACTAGATGGCGCCAGAATACTCCAAACTGCAGCTGGGGCGTGTGTGAGAGTTGAATGGGTTCACATCACTGGCTCTGACAGACTGACGTCACACAAAACAACTGATGTCATAGAGAACTTCAGAGTCAATGGAGAGGCCAGGACCAAATTCAAATGTAGTACCACCAAAAAGGTTGAGAGGGCGCCACACAGACGTTTTTTGGCTCAAAAGTGATATTTTTTCTAATTTGAACTATGAATGTCAAAAAAATGACCCGGATATGTAGATAGCACTACAATAAACATACTTATGCAGTTTATGAGTTAAAAAAAGTTGATTTGGTGTTTAGTCGCTCTTTAATATCATGCATGTTTGTTGGTCATTCAAAATGAGACTGGGAATGTTCTATTTTGTGGTTCCTTTTTGCTTCTTGTTGCCTGTTCTTCTAGTCAATGTTTTAGAATGTGAAATAATATCCTATGTAGGGACTGATCAATAATAGGACTGAGACAGGTGCTTTGTGACAAAGAGGGTGGAGTAAAAGAGAGAGAGACCAGAAAGAGAAAAACCAGAGAGAAACCAGAGAGAGAAGGACCAGAAAGAGACTAGAGACTAAATAGAGACTAGAGAGAGAGGCACCAGAGAGATAAGCCAGATAGAGAGAGAGAGAGCAGAGAGATACCAAAGAGAGAGACTAGAGAAATACCAAAGAGAGACTAGAGAGCGACCAGATATATATATGATATAAATATAAATATAATATAATATATATATAATATAATATATATATAATTATATATATATATATATATATCATATATATATATATATATCATATATATATGATATATATAGATATATATAGTGCACCTTTATTCTTTATTATTCTTTATTCAGATAGCGATCAGATAGAGACCAGAGAGAGACTAGAGAGAGACCAGAAAGAGACCAGAAAGAGACCAGAAAGAAAAAATGATCAAAGGAGAAATCAAGTCCGGTTAAATAAAAGTAGTTTATCTTACTTCTATTCTTGTCCTCGCTGGTGAGACCTGCAGGTGTGAACCGCGTCGGACTAACTTTGGACGCCAACTTGCAGTAATCTTTCAGTTATTGAACTGTATATTTAGTTAGCAGTGCGTTGCTTTTGTACCATTTCATCAGTGATTGCCGTACAGCTTATAAGAAGTTGTGCTAATGCTAACTAATGCCTTTCTGCTCTGTCGCCATCTCACCATAGGCTCATCTCACACGCATGTGTCGGCGTCACATTGGAAGTGTTATTATGGGATGCATTAGCGGGTCATTTAGCACATGCGTCGAATGCGTTACATTTTTTAATGCAATTAATGAAAACAATTTATGAACGTGCGTTAAAACAATAATATTGACAGCCCTACCAAAAATAGTAAAATATTGAAGGGTACTCTACTCTAGCCTACCTTGAAGGAGAGCCCTGATTGGTGGTGTTTCAACTGGCCCTGAAGGAGCTGTAACAGGTCACTCTTTAGTCCCTCTTGACCCTGGTTCTATCCAGGCCAAGCTAGCGTGCTCACTAACAGTACTTGGCCGGAGTACTGCGGGGAATACAGTAGAGTAGTAGGGTTGAGGGAAAACAGGACTTAAATGCTTGTATCAATTAGTTTTTATCTTAGTTATAGTCAATAGTTTGGTCTGTCTGCCATCTCAAACTTACAACTGTGGAACTCGCAATGACCTGAAATGTGGTGAATTTGTGTTGTGTCTCGCCCTAAATTACAACAGTAGCTCTCTGTAAACGGCTTTGTCCCTGATGCAAACAGCAGTGGTCACAGGAATGCAGCTGTGATCGCTGTTGTGTGACAGCGAAGGAGTCACAAGGAGCTCCTCACAACAATCTCTCAGACTCAGACAGAGAGACATGATGTTCATGTCATATCTGACTGAATACACTGTATCTACATATCCGACATTAGACCTGGGCAGACAAAAGGACAGAGTTATTGGTATACTTAATGGTCTAAAAGCTAGAAAAAAGCTAAGCCGATAATATGAAAATCTCCACAGAAGGGGCGCTGATGTAGCCTGGTCGTACCACACCTTAGTACAAATTACATTTCATACTAAGGTCTGGATTTGCTCCATTGAGCTCCGTTTACAGGTGGGAGGGGTTAACTCCTTTTGCAGATTGAAACGATTGGATCTGAGTTTACCGTGACGTATGTACTGCGCCCGAGTGTGTTGTTAGCATTTAGCCTAGCCATCTCCTTTGCCGCTAACGGAGCCCGTGGGGAGTAGCGCCACAATCTTGACCAGCGATTACAATTGCTAAACATTCCTCTTGCTCCTGCTTCAATTTCTTGATAGAACCAGACCGGATTACTTTACTATCGCATTCTTCGCCCCTGCCAAACCACAACCTGCCCGTCCGGCACCGACCTACAACACTCTGCTTCTGCGCTCTCTGAGTAGCCGGTGTTCTGTCGAGTTGGTCTGCCCATCGAGATGAACTCCCACAGCTGTTAATGATGTGATGCAAACCTGCGCATGCACGTCTCACTGCAGCCGAAGCAAACCAAGATGGCGGACACAGAGTCCGTGAATTGCTTTAAAAGTTAAATACGAACGAATTAAGACACGAATGTCACTTTTAATGCAATTTGAGGCGAGATGTTGATGGTTCCGCGTTGTGATATGTGTGTTTTAAGAGTAAGAGTTTCGTGTAAAGTTTGTTTTAAGCAGTCCACTGCTCCTGTGAAACTACACTGCTGCTGTGTGATAGCAGTCCCTGAGTTGACTGCTGCATAAGTCATTTTACTGACGTAGGCCCATGACGCGTCCTGTGACTGGTTTGTCCGGTTGATAATGGAAATGATAAATCAAATTTAATGCATGTATCGTACTGTATTTAATATGATTAACAATAATGTGTTCAAACAAAATATCTAATTAGATTTTTTTTTCCCTACTCAAGTCAGATTTGGGTACACTAGCAGTGTAGTTTCACAGGAGCAGTGTACTGCTTAAAACAAACTTTACACAAAACTCATCAACATCTCGCCTCAAATTGCATTAAAAGTGACATTCGTGTCTTAATTCGTTTGTATTTTAACTTTTAAAGCAATTCGCGGACTACATGTCCGCCATCTTGGTTTGCTTCGGCTGCCGTGAGACGCGCAGCGTAGGTTTGCATTACATCATCAACAGCTGAGGCAGATCATCTCGACGGGCAGACCAACTCGACAGAACACCGGTCGAAATACGACCGATTGTATTCGCTAACACAGGGGCCAGACCCAGACGTTACATGCAGTGAAATGATGATTGAGCGGAGTGTACAGATGGCTATAGCCAGGCTAGCGCTGATGGGGAGGAGGAGGGTTTCTACACAAACAGCAGCTTGTTGCAGGGAGTGAAAGGCACTGTTTAAATGGACTGGAGGGGAGAGAGAAAGAACCGGGACGACAAGGGCCATTTAAATCCACTGAACTAGACCTTTGTGAAAGCTGTAGGTATAGGAGGATCTTTGTTTACACCCGTGTGCGCATGCGCCCCTCGCTGGGTGGCAAGAAGACAGAGCGGCACATACTGAAGCATGGATGCAACGAGTATTTTTAAAAGACTCAGTGGGCGAATAACACCGTATATAAGCACTTTAACGCAAGAAGATCAGAGGACATATAACGGCAACCTAAAAATGAGTATATGAGACCGAAATTAACAAATTCAAAGCCCATATGAGACCTGGGATGACGAGAAAAAACATTGGTCAGACTCACCTGTCTTGGCAACGATCTGCTGGGACTGGGACTCGGAGACATTTATTTTTACTTCTTGGAAAACCCGGGACCCTTCACTCAAGAAGGGTCAGTGGTGAATTTCTCGGGTTTTTCAT